GTAATTTATTAAAAATAAAAAATAAACAATGTAAATCCAATCATGTCCACCAGCGATCACAGGATGGCTGCTGTATGTAACCTACAGTCAGGTCCATAAATATTGGGACATCGACACAATTCTAACATTTTTGGCTCTATACACCACCACAATGGATTTGAAATGAAACGAACAAGATGTGCTTTACCTGCAGACTGTCAGCTATAATTTGAGGGTATTTACATCCAAATCAGGTAAACGGTGTAGGAATTACAACAGTTTGCATAGGTGCCTCCCACTTGTTAAGGGACCAAAAGTAATGGGACATTTGGCTTCTCAGCTGTTCCATGGCCAGGTGTGTGTTATTCCCTCATTATCCCAATTACAATGAGCAGATAAAAGGTCCAGAGTTCATTTCAAGTGTGCTATTTGCATTTGGAATCTGTTGCTGTCAACTCTCAAGATGAGATCCAAAGAGCTGTCACTATCAGTGAAGCAAGCCATCATTAGTCTGAAAAAAACAAAACAAACCCATCAGAGAGATAGCAAAAACATTAGGCGTGGCCAAAACAACTGTTTGGAACATTCTTAAAAAGAAGGAACGCACCGGTGAGCTCAGCAACACTAAAAGACCCGGAAGACCACGGAAAACAACTGTGGTGGATGACCGAAGAATTCTTTCCCTGGTGAAGAAAACACCCTTCACAACAGTTGGCCAGATCAAGAACACTCTCCAGGAAGTAGGTGTATGTGTGTCAAAGTCAACAATCAAGAGAAGACTTCACCAGAGTGAATACAGAGGGTTCACCACAAGATGTAAACCATTTGTGAGCCTCACAAACAGGAAGGCCAGATTAGAGTTTGCCAAACGACATCTAAAAAAGCCTTCACAGTTCTGGAACAACATCCTATGGAGAGATGAGACCAAGATCAACTTGTACCAGAGTGATGGGAAGAGAAGAGTATGGAGAAGGAAAGGAACTGCTCATGATTCTAAGCATACCACCTCATCAGTGAAGCATGGTGGTGGTAGTGTCATGGCGTGGGCATGTATGGCTGCCAATGGAACTGGTTCTCTTGTATTTATTGATGATGTGACTGCTGACAGAAGCAGCAGGATGAATTCTGAAGTGTTTCGGGCAATATTATCTGCTCATATTCAGCCAAATGCTTCAGAACTCATTGGACGCTGCTTCACAGTGCAGATGGACAATGACCCAAAGCAGACTGCAAAAGCAACCAAAGAGTTTTTTTAAGGGAAAGAAGTGGAATGTTATGCAATGGCCAAGTCAATCACCTGACCTGAATCCGATTGGGCGTGCATTTCACTTGCTGAAGACAAAACTGAAGGGAAAATGCCCAAAGAACAAGCAGGAACTGAAGACAGTTGCAGTAGAGGCCTGGCAGAGCATCACCAGGGATGAAACCCAGCGTCTGGTGATGTCTATGCGTTCCAGACTTCACGCTGTAATTGACTGCAAAGGATTTGCAACCAAGTATTAAAAAGTGAAAGTTTGATTTATGATTATTATTCTGTCCCATTACTTTTGGTCCCTTAACAAGTGGGAGGCACATATGAAAACTGTTGTAATTCCTACACCGTTCACCTGATTTGGATGTAAATACCCTCAAATTAAAGCTGACAGTCTGCAGTTAAAGCACATCTTGTTTTTTCATTTCAAATCCATTGTGGTGGTGTATAGAGCCAAAAATGTTAGAATTGTGTCGATGTCCCAATATTTATGGACCTGACTGTATGTGGACTGGTATGCTGGTGCTGTCATTGACTAAATATAGTCAATGAAATCACCCATGTTACCTGGATGGTCTGTTTACAAAAAGCAGCCTTCCAGGGATCTGTCATTTTTTGGCAAAACTTTGACCAGTTTGTTGGCCCATTCACTGAATTGCAAACAAGTTGTGTTCAGGCTGAATCATCAGGCACAATCAGTAAGTAATATCCTAAGATGGTGTCAAGAATACAAAATTAATTAACAGGTGGGAATATTTTTCTTTAAGTAAACATAGCAAAACTAAAAATTATAGCTTAACTTTAGATATGTGATAGGGACCAAATACACAATGCATGAGCAAAATCAAAGTATCTCCATATTGTCCTATTATTTTGATGAATAAAAATACACTTCTGGGAAATATGTCATTAAATTTAATGGCCATACATGACAGAATAACTAATCTGCTTACACAGTGCTCAAAGCACTCTCATCTGTAAAAAGTGATTGAATATATTTGGTGAATCAGTGTTTGCAAATATTATAAAGGATTAATGTCCGTTTTAGGCATATGGGGCATTTATCATTCAATTTGCATTTACTGTTGCATTTAGAGGCAGAAATTATAATTTATGCTGAAGGTTTGGGTACATCATTTAGTTTATTAATATAGTAAGCAATGAAAAATATGTTTTCATGATGCAATGTGACTGTTTAATATTTGAATTGAGTCATGCTTTAATTGAACACATAAAATTACTATAATAAGCTCAAGCTTTGCAACATGCTATAAATACATTCTATATAAAATGTATTTGAAACTTTCCAACTAACTGTATCCAGACAACATAAAATCAGGCAAAAAAATATTTCAAATTGTAGATCACTTCAAGCAGGAGATAACCTATTGTACTGGTCACTGTATATACTGTAGTAGATAGGCAGGTTGTTGTAATTTGCAAACCATCTTTTTTTTTTTTGCAGTTTTATTAAATAAGTCTGACAATAATAGGTCTTATAAAAAAAAAAGTTGCTGAATGAATGTCTCAAGCATTTTCTCAGCTGTCACGATTGATCCTGTATTTTGCCTTATATGTTTATTTCCTAAGATCGTCAGCTCCATCTAGTAGCCAACAAACATGCGGGAGTTTCAGCTGAATTGGGTGATAACAGCTGCCTATGAAGTCTAAAGTCTGTCTAATGCTGGACATAGGGGTTGATTTACTAAAACTGGAGAGTGCAAAATCTGGTGCAGCTCTGCATAGAAACCAATCAGCTTTCAGGTTTTGTTGCCAAAGTGTAAGTGAACAAGCTAAAGTTAGAAGCTGATTTGCTACCATGCCCAGCTGCACCAGATTTTGCACTCTCTAGTTTTTGTAAATCAGTCCCATAAATGTTACCACTTTATACAATCTTTTTTATATTTGACAACACCTATGCAGTGAAACGTGACTTGATATAACTAGAATGGATTGCTTAGATAAGCCATTGTACTACATAGCTGTTGGTATGAGACTGTGCAATAAAATTGTATGCAGCCCACTTGGAGTCAGCCTTTGCTTTGCTCAGGCCAGACAAAACAGGTTCATATTAACTTAGCCCTCCTAAGCATCATATACTTATCTTTCACTCCCCGACTGTTCTGTTCTTTCGCCAGGAATGAAGCAAAGTACTGTGCAAGCTATGAGTTGACAGTCATAGCTTATATAGGGCTATGGCCTCACTATTGTAAGAGTGTTGGTACATGGTGAGAGTCACATGCGTCTCCATGAACACAGTGATGGGTTAGTGAAAGAAAAGGTAAACTATACTGCTGGGAACTGGGGGACTAAAGCAAACCTGTTGCTTTGCTATGCATGGGTAAAGAGCGTGTTTGCTTTAAGCAGAACTCCAGGCAAAAACGTGTCCTTGTTGCTGATTTCCTACCTCCACTGAATATGTCATCCATCTTCTGGTTCACTCACTAGTTGCTCTGAAATAACCTATTCATTTTCACATCAAACTGTTAATTCTCTTTGCAAGACCGGTGGCTGCTATGCCTCCTATTCTCCCTTTCACTGGCCTTGGCACATCCCTTCTGTAGTTCTTTCTCCAGGAAGCAGTGATGTAATTCAGCCCCACTTGCAATAGTGGGTGGACCGGGACTCTTAGACATATTCAACATGTACAGGCCTAGTGTACCTGACCTCATTCACTACAATTCCCTGTGGTTGATGGGAAATATAGTTTCCTTTTACTACAGAAAGAGAGAGAAGGACATGATGCAATCCCTGCTGTTACACCTCCTCCTTGGCAGAGCAGATGCTGCTATCTTTTGAATTACAGAGATAAGGTGATGAAAATTCAATTAGACTTTTCTTCTAAATGGTAAGGATTATCAAAATTATTTTAACTGTTTAGTGTTTTGCTTAGGGGGTGTACTAATGGGTGATTTTTTTTGCTTATCCCAGATTTCTTCTTTAGGGTAGAAAAACAGAACAGTACATACCTCTGAAGGACCACTCTTTCACAGCTAATCACACATTCAGGCTATTTCTGGCAACCAGTATTGTAACCCGAAATATGGCATTTGGAGAGTCTCTGCTAAGGCAATCCTACTAATTATAGCCATATCCTATTTTATTAAGATGTTTCAGCACTTGGACTATGTTTGCTTGCCCAACCACTTAGGTGTTTATTTATAAAACATTAATTTGACAAATGTCACTATATTTTCTGTGATAGATCCATTCTTGTATTGTCCGTTCCATCTAGTGGTCAAAACATGGTATAGTTTTCTGAAATACCTCAATGAGAAAATATACTATATTTTGGCCACTAGATGAAGCTAACAAAAAGGAATTACTCTATTACAAAAAATACAGTCACATTTGCTCCAGGTTGCACAAATGCTTCTGATATTCATTTAACTAATGTTTTAGAAATGTATCCTATAATTTCTATGCCATTGTTACACTATTTGCTGTTCTTTTTTTCAGATTTATTTAGAGCCAATGTGACAGACTGGCACCCTGCTTGAGTGCGTCCATCAGAGAACTGCTTCCTCAATGCTGGACCACAGGACTAAGGTATAATAGCTGGGTATTGCACCCAAGGACTAAAAGACATTAGCTTAGGTGCATCTGGAACTGTTTATTCTGTTAACAGAAATACAGGTTTTTATACACTTCAGAAATATAGGCATTCCCCAGATGAACAATAAAAACAAATATTACACATTGGGATAAACAACCCACACTGATTAGATATCGAGGTCAAGTTGACACAAAACTAATCCCATCATGTAGGAACCTCTAGGAGGACTAGCCAACAGACAGAAACAAAAGGTGACTCAATTAACTCAATTAACAATGGAACAAATACACAAAGGTAAACACATAACACCTTTACCACTGCAAGTCCAGATACTTTCACCCCCTTCCAGTCCAGAACAATTTTTAGCACTATCACACTTTGAGTGACAATTGCACAGTTGAGCAACCCTGTACTCATATTACATTTTTATAATTTTTTTGAGACACATAGAGCTTTCTTTTGGTAGTATTTGCTCACCACTGAGTTTGTTATTGTTTGCTATATACATGAAAAAATACAGAAAATGTTGAAAAAAAAAGAATATTTGGTTATAAAATATTTTGGGTATAAAACTGGTATGGGGTTATAAAATATTGGAAATAAATACTCTTTCTTCATAAAGTGATGCCAAAATGTATTCTGCTACATATTTGGGGTAAAAATAACCCAAAACAGTGTATATAATTTAGTCTTGTGAAAGGTATAGGGCCTACAAACTATGAGATATATATTTGAAAATTTATCAGTTGGGACCCTAAAATGCCAGAAGCTGGTATGAGATATAGCAGTGATCAGGACGCTGCTATGGGGTATGGTGGTGATCAGGGCATTAGCATGAGGTATGGCGGTGATCAGGACACTGGTATGGCAGTGATCAGGATGCTGGTGTGGGGTAATCAGGATGCTGGTACGGGGGTATGGTGGAGATCAGAACAGTGGTATGGGGTATGGCTGTGATCAGAAACTGGTATGGAGTATGCTGGTGAAAAGGAAACTGTCATGGCAATGATCAGGATGCTGGCACGGGGTATGGTGGTGATCAGGATACTGGTATGGGGTATGGCTGTGATCAGAAACTGGTATGGAGTATGCTGGTGATCAAGAAACTGGTATGGAGTATGGCAATGACCAGGACGTTGGTATGGGGTATGGCAGTGATCTGGACGCTGGAATGGCATATGGGGTAATCAGGATACTGGTGTGGGGTATGGTGGTGATCAGGATACTGGTACAGAGTATGGTGTGATCAGAATGCTGGTATGGGGTATGGTGGGGATCAGGGTGCTGGTATGGTCTATGGCGATGATCAGGATGCTGGTATGGTGGTGATCAGGGTGCTGGTATGGTGTATGGTGGTGATCAGGACGCTGGTATGGGGTATGGTAGTGATCAGGACGCTGGTATGGTTGTGAATAGGATATTGGTATGGTGGATGACCATGGTTTTGTGTGCACTGGGATAGGTGACACGACTAGCTGTATTGTTTACTTTAGACTACAATGGGCAGTGATTATAGACACTGGGGCAGTAATCAGGGACCTTGGGGTGGCTGTCACACCAGTTTGTGAGTGTACATGCAGCCTGACAGGCTGCTGCACACTTACAAGCTGCTGCATTGCTTCTCTCTGTTCTTACAGTGAGAGCAGAGAAAACTGATCTTTGCTTTCACTTTCAATGTTTACAATGTGAGTGTTGTGATTGGTCAGACACAGCGGTAAAAATTATGTGATGTGCTGTGTCCAGGCAACGTTCGTTTTGCCAAGCTCCCGAGTGCACGCTCTGTGAGCTGCTGATCCGGGTTGACGTACAGGTACATTAGCCCGCATCGACAAAGTTACCCATCCTCTGTCTATAGGCAAAGGGAAGACAGGAAGAGGTCAATAAACAGATTACAGCAAGAAACCTCAACATCATGTTGTTTTTAGCTGATTATATTAACATCTGCTCTGAGTCTAGGAGGGAGTTGAAGCAGTCAATGCTGGCTTGGGCACAGAGGCCCCAAATCTGTATCTGGGTCCTCCAGTTCTCTGAGTCCGTGTGTTTCAGGGAGACATGGACTTAAATCCAAAGTAAAACTACTGCAAAGGTCCCCCAGGCACACACCTCCCAAAGAATAGAGCCCCCTCAGATGCCAGGGCTCATGGTCAATAGGCAAGAGGCTAGCCAGCAACCCCTCCAAAAGACCGTGTCCTAGTTGGGTCTGTCACAGCCAATATCAACCTTATTGTCAGGCAAAAATATGGCTTTTTTCTATATCAAAAGACAAGTTTTGTATTCTTTGCGGTACTCAAGGTCAAGGTCATTCAACTATTTCATATTCATAGTAAATAGCTAATTGAAAATTGCAAAACTAAAATTCTATATTGGCATTTTACTGTAATGATTTGTTGTGGTACAGTCAGTGATGTAGAATGGTGGACTGTAGCCTTTATTGTCAGCAAGCAGTATGGAAGCGAGCTAAGTCATTTATCCAAGATTCCACAATTCTTTAAGTAGGATTCTGCGGCAAGGGAATAATTGCAGTTCAGGAGAGGGAACCTGATTTGCCTACCTTCATGAAGTCTGTATTTTCAATTTAGTGATGTACCATGTACCAGCCAAAAGTATCTAATCAGAAGAGACTAACTATTCGATTGGATTAATTATAGGTCACCATCCACCCGTCACATCATCATCTGTAATCAATGTTTTAGAGTAACGGCAGCTCAGTGAAATTGCATTTTGATTTGTCATGAACTCAGGCACTATAATTTAAAGCAAGCCAGGGATGGCAAAAGATAATAAGACTGTTTTACATCTTGGTGTTTTCCATACATTTGCGATAATATAAATACACTACATAATGTATTCTATTTTAGATTAAATTACAAAGTAAAATGTAGGGTGTTATTTTGGTTTCTACAAGCAACATCATCTTTACTTTGCTCTATATTTTTTGCAAAGCCATCAACAAGCTTTGATGTTAAATGTCGACAACACAAAAGTGTAGTATTGTGTACAATGGCATTTACTCAGATTTATATGCTGTGCATGTGACATAAAACCCAATAGACTTGTAAGGGGGGGGGGGGTGCTGTTGAGACACTAAACACTTTGTCAATAATATGTAGCATACAAAATATCATATAAGGTGCACAGGTCAAAGTATGAAACATACAGCAGTATAGCATATAGAACACAGAGCTCAGAGCATTTAACATACAACAGGACATCAGGAGTAAAACAGTCCAGAGTAGGTAACCTTCAACATGCAACAAAACCCTGTGTTGTGCAGGAGGAGCCTGAGGCAGTTTTTATTGAATTGCACAGTAAAGCCCACTCTCCTGGCATCATGGGAGTCTGAGCATCCAGACTTGTTGGAGCAAGCAGACCACCCAAGAAAGCCGGGGTGGAGAGGAGATCACTTGGATCAGCAACACTGTTCATCTGGTCCACCTTGTAGGGCTGCCGCTGAGAGACCAGAGCATTCGCCATACCCTCTGTTCCTATCGTCCAGGCTACATCTACACCAGAACCAGACCAAAGGGGTCCCGTTCATTGCAAGATTTTATTGCCACAATGGGGAGTTGGTGAGAGGGCCACCGGCCCACCATGTACTGTTATCAGTAGATAAGCCACTGAGAGCAGGACAACCATAGTAATCAACCCATGTTCAATCCATAGCAATCAGGTACTCTGTCACACTCAAGCCCATACCACACCCCTACCAACCCATTGCTGTGATCATAAAGAACACCTGTTGTCATCTTACTGCTCGCAGGGTTGAAGCACTATAGGAAACACTAAATTAAAGGGACCCACCATAATCCAGCAGATGACTAACTTAAAGGACTGCCCCTACCATTAGTCTTACTGTCACGTACCTGATAGAAGACTTAAATGACGAGGTCAGCCTCACTTGTGTCACTAACCCTGACCCCACTGGAAGTGGAAAAGAGGGTGTCTAGGGACCAGGGGGACAGCAGATGTTGTTTGCAGCTCTTGCGGCTGGAGACTTTGGAAGACTGATGAACCTCCGATTCAGGCACAGTAGTGATATGCAGCGCTGGTATGGTAGGTCGGCAGGTGTGCACCAGAGCAAGGCAAGAAGCTTGGATGGGAGACAGGAGCAATGTCATAGGAATAGCAGGGGTCATCAATGGGCGGACAGAGAGGTACCAAATCATAAACAAGCCAAAGTCAGGAGCAGAGCCGAAGTCAGGAACCAGTATCAAGCAGGAGAGTAATAAGAGTCAGATCAGGAACAAGCTGGGTCAGCAACAAGGAAATCACACAGGAACGAGCAGGAAACAGGGAACAGCTGAAGACCACTCAGCACAGGCAGAGGCACCTTTTAAATAGTCCGTCTGGTGCCAATATTCACCGTGCGTGTGCGTGATTGTGCATTTCTATGCACAAGCACACGTCTATTCACCAGCCATCTCACAGGAATTCCCTTACACTTACAGGTACCCCCCCACCCCCATATTCTTCCATCTTTGTTTATGTTGATTCAATTTTAACTGTGCCTACCCACTCGGATTGGGCCTAGCACCACCATTTCTAGGGCACACTGGCAACATACTGTAACTCCAGTATTGTTAGAGAAAACTTCACTGCTGCCCACCATCACATATTTGGATGGTATTGCTACTGTTTATGCTGATCTGGTTGGACTCTGCCCCTTTATATCTAGTCCTCATGGTTATACTTCCTTGATGCAGAATGGCGTTAAAATTGTTAGCTTACTTGTATTTGCTTGGTTATCAACTCCATTGAGTAATAAAACATAATAAATTACAAATACAAGATTAGCTTTGTTAACTGGTTTGGTTTCTGCTTTTGGTATAGTACTAATGGTAGGTGTGCTTCACTGTGTTTATCTGCTTTCACATTTAACCTGATATGTCAGGGGGCTGAGGCCCTTGGGAAGGTTGAGGACCCATCTACTCTAGGAGACTTTGCAGGCACTAATAACTATAACTTATTACTTCTTAATAAATCAAGTCTTAATATTACAAATGATGATATTTGACTGGCCATTCTTAGCATGCAATAAATAGCATCTTGATGAATCAGGCTCTCTACATTTATTTACAATTCATATTTATCTACACACATGTTGGTAGTCTTTTTCTTCCACTTATTACTATTGCTCACTGAAATCAATAGACTCTGTGCAATAATGATTGGCAGTCAGAGACCATGTACCTAGACTGAAAGCTAGAGGAACAACTGTTTTTTGTTGTTTTTTTTTATTCATGGCAAAAAAGGGTACTGTCAAAACAATATTGTGATTTGGTAATGCTGACATGTATCCGACAGATTCATAGGATGAATGAATTTTAAACCATAGGTTCATCTTTTGAGAAAATGTTTATTTTATGTTTCAGCTGAGCGAGCATCCCTAAGGTTTAAACACTGCCAATGCATTAAATAAAGTATAAAAGAAATACGTAGATGTACATTACTGGAATAATAATGACTCATGAAGTACAAGTATATATTTATACATCTATTCTCTGAATGCAGGAACAAAGAAAAAATATATTTCCCATTTTTATTTTTTTGTTTTTTTTCACTTGTGCTTTATTCATTTCAGCACCATTTGACAAATGCTGATATGTGTACATAACATTGAGGTGTTTCCCATCAATCTTTTTTAGAAAACTAGTCTTCTGGGACAGACCGCCACATATCCAATAGGTTCCATTCTGACATACTGTCAGACTACTGACTGACAAAGCAGGAGTCTTCGGTTTAATCCACATAAAACGTTTTATGTTGTGTTTGTTCTCTAAGTGTGTATTCCTCAATAACTAACATCCTTCCCATCCTCTCTTTCCCAAGGCATATATGCAGAGTTACTAATTAGATACCTTTCCAACCCTATGATACTCCATATGATATCGAACCTGCAATATACAAGATATGACAATTTATTTCTCAGAATGGACTGTAAAAAAAAAACCCCAAAAAGTTTGATCTTCAAAAGATTGGAGTAAATTTGAAGACGACATTCTTTCTGATCATCTGTCAAGATTCGAGGTACCATCTTCGCAGAACTCTTGTTCATTCCCAAATCCTCTGTTAGAATCTCTTGCACTGTTTCCCTGTTCATATTCAATTTTTCTGCCATCATTCACACACTCAATTTTTGATCTAAACGTATGAGGATTCACACTCTATCCACATTTTTTTTGCTTTTATTTTTTGCTAACTATACATTGTTTATTTTTTTGCTGTTATGTTTATTTTTTCATGTTAGCCCTGAAGAAGAGGGAAACAATTCCCCTGAAAACGCGCTGACTCAACGTATCTATTATCTTCAATGGTAATGCACTTTTGCCAATTTTCACGCAAATTTGATTTTAATCCGCTACTCCAGATTCCAGTCACTCATGTTCCGCAACGCACACATGCATTATTTCTTCTAATACTCTGTAAAGACTCTGAGTCGAATGGTCTGCAAGCCAGGCGAGTGAAAGTTAGAACATGTCAGAACAGACTTGAGTGTGAATGGCTGTGTGACTCACCACCATAGTGCTATGCCATGGGCATTCCATGAATTAAATTGTCACACCTCTCACATCCATGTTGTAATTTTTTATTCACAATTTACTCCGCTCACAAAGTGCACCCAAGTTAGGTTCACCTAAAATGTTATAACCTAATTCCAACATAAGGTTTTCACAGGATTAACATAAATAGATAAAATGGATGTTTTCATCAACCTATAATGTAAAAGTCTCAATAAAACATTGTCAGGCTTTGAAAAATGGACATAGATGGCATCATTCAGTCTTTAATTCCTGCCTCAGCACTGGAATCAGATCTGATCACTGGCCAAATCTTTGTGACTTGTCAGTAGTATAAATCACCTCTAAATTGAATAGCTGTGACTGAATAATGCAGTTCTACAGTCAGCAGGGAGGATGTTTCAAAACTTTAAACTGTTTTATTTCCAGACAAAAAGTAAAATAAAACCCATTTATCACATCAAGAACACTGTCACAGTTATAGATGTTTCACAAGGTTACCTCAGTGAAAATAAAATGTTCAAATTATCTGAAAGATCAATTACAATGTCTAGTAAATCATAGCAGAGTGCCATTGG